AATGAAGATATCGTTTGTTTTTTTAATGTGGATAATGTTAATAATGATCAAAAAATTATTAGTGATTCAGATATAACAAAAAGAGTAACATTGGTAGACTCGGAACTCATCAAAATTAAAAAATATGTTTTGAATCAAGGTGGTAATTATTTACAAATAAAAGAATATAAGACACATGTAAATGTTTTGAATATAAAAAATGATTATATGCTTAAGGGAAGACAGATTATTATTCCTCAAAAACTAAGGAAAAATATGCTCATTGAGCTTCATGTAGGTGAAAAGATATTTTTGGTGGCCAGGAGTTATATAAGACATTATGGAAATAGTGTTTAGATGTAGTGTATGATTAATGCACCTACATAACTAAAAGTTATGCAAAATCATTAGGTGCAGCCAGATAACCCCTGGTATCGAATTTATATTGATTTTTTTGGACCTATTAAGAATTTTTTTTTACGGGTTGATAATTATTGATGGGTATTCTAGATGGCTGGGAATTATCAAGGTTAATAACATTAATAGCATTACCACTATAATAATAAAGTTTTTTCTAAATTCGGTTATCCTATAGAATTGGTAACAGATAATGAACCATCATTTAGATCTTATGAATTTAATTTTTTTTGCATAATAAGGATATTATTTACATTTTTAAGGTAATGGTAGAAAGATCTGTTCGCACAACAAAAAAAATGATTCATAAATTAAGGGATTGGGATGAGCTTAGATGGCAGATTTTTATTAAATTATCGCAATGCGGCGCATTCGATAACAAAATTATCACCTGCAGGATTAATGGGTAGGGAATTGAGATGTAAATGGAGTTTGTTAGAAAATAAAGACTGTGATGGTAGGTCTGAACTAATTGTAGAGAATTAACTATAGGAAACTCTGTTTTTGTGAAGGTGGGCACAAATCAAGATTGGTATGCGAGGACTGTCATTGGTAAGGATCAGAATGTCATGTGGGAAATCAAGTTAGACCATAAGGTTGTGATAACGCACATCAATCAAATTAGAGATCGTTGATAAACTTGTTTATAAAATTTTCAATTACTAATCCGTAGGCGTATCCAGGATTTTCCTAAGGTGGGGATTAAAAAATTACTGAGGGCTTTGTCCCCAGACCCCATTTTCAGCGGGCCTTTGGCTTGCTTTTGGCCGGCCTTCGGCCAGGTTACCTTAGTCTATATATAGTCATAAAATATTTTTACAAAATTAATAAATAAGCCTGGAACAAATATGAAATATATTTTTTTATATAAAATATAATAAATTATAAAAAAATATTTATTTATTATGAAATGTTTTAAAACAATTTCTATCATGGTTAAATAAATAAATTTCACATTTTTTACACTTTTCCTTGAATATGCGCTAACACATAATTTACACCTTTTTCGAGTGTTAGAAGCTTCTGGCTAGTGCTCTATATTATCGTATCTAACGTCTGATATTATCTGAGGTAACTTAGATCCTTTTTGTATTTTTCTTTTACTAATTTTACCTGCCATTGATAAAGCAGTAACTATTTGAGAATTAAAAAAAATAAGTTTTATATTCATTTTTTTCGAAGTAAATGTCTTCGATACAATAACCATGCATTCACAATGCAGGTATCAATTGAAATATTATTCGAAAATAGAACCTTCTACCTTTGATATCTACTCTCTAGCATTCCACTAGCATATATTGTAAATCTCTCCCATTCCTTCATTATATATTTTTTTAAATACAAGGTCTAGGGATCTGAATAATTTTTTTTTCCGTCAAGAACCATAGCCTCACATCTTCTATTGGGTCGATACTATTGAAGGATGATATAACATGAACAAATTTGTGGTTAAACCATTTGACAATTATATTATTATTAATGTCAATTTTGTAGTCGAAACTACCTCTCCTCTTTTTCTTGAGATCGCGATCGCTTTTCAAATTGCAACCTTTTAGGCAATTGGTGTGAAGTGCATTTGTGGGCGAATCTATATCCATATTGACAATAGGATGATTAAAATTATCCTCACTATCAATATCTGTTTCCGAAATATCACCTTCAATTATAATATTTTATTTGACATCTATAAAAATAAAATATATAAATTCAATGTTAATAAAATAACTTATAAGTTCCCAATGAATTAATTTGGGATCATAATTTTAAAATTATATTTACAAAAATTATTAAAAATATAAATTTATGAGGACATACTTGAATATTTTGTCTTCTTTATAAAATTAACAGTTTTCAGAATTTTTCAATTAAAATATATTTAAATAATATGTAAAATCAAGTAATTTAGAAAATATCGAAACGGAAATATAGTCGAAAGTTACGTGATAATAAAATAAAAACAAAAGCATATATTTTTTTGATTATTGTATGATTGGATACATTCTATATTTATTTTAAAATGTTAAATTAAATCATTGAGTGGTTTTAAACATTAAAAAAAAAACAATATGCAATATATGTCAAATTAGCTCACAGGAATTTAAAGGGTTAAGGAAAAAACATTATTAAAATTATATCATCACTTTCACATGTATTGTAAATTTTATTGGATGTTAAATTTTTAATTTTAATTGATGGATCTTGATAGTTTGCAATTTTATAATATTACATTTAAATTGTTTATTTTACATTGATATTAACAAGAGGAACAAAATTATTTATATATATTTCAATAATATCATTTTAAGATTCAGACTGGTATTTTTTATTCGCTTATATTTACTTTGCGAATTCGCTCTAAAAATATTATCGCTATGATTTAGACTTTGATAATTCTATTCCAATCTATCGAACCCAAGCTAATTCCTACAATTTTAGAAATAAACCCAAGTCAACTGGTAGAAAATATTAAAATTGTCGAAGCAAAATGGATATCGAGGTAATAAATTCGTATGAGTCAGATATTGAAAACCCATTAAATTTATTTTATAATTTTAAACAGGCAAATGAGTATTTTTGATAATTTTTCATATTTAAAAAATTATTTCTAAAATAAAATACCCCATTACCTCAATTGCTAGTGTTGAACGATTATTTAGTAAGACTAATCTTATACTTGGTGGTGGCCGATCTTTGGGAATAATATTAAAATGATTTTATTATTAAAATAAAATATTATAAATAATTATTTATAGTTTTATATGTAAATTCTTTTATAATTAATAAACTTTTAAATATTTAAAAATGCTGATTTTTATAGATCCACAAATAGAATAAATTATAATAAAAAAATAAAAGATTTATTAGTAATTTTTTCAAAATAGCGGTAGCTATTAGTGCTCTACTTGGCTATGACAGCTTAAAGTAGCGCTAGCACGTAACCGCTAATTTTTTTTTAACAAGTATCAATTGTTTATTTGATTGACGCAAGCTTGATTTGGAGATAAGAAATAATTTTTCAAAAATTTAATTTTTTAGTAAAAGATGGTTATAATCTCGGCGAAATAATATCATTTCATGATATTAATGTGCAAATCTTATTCTTTATGTGGGAATTTTTTTAAAAAAAATTATACAAAAACTGGGAATAACTATAAAAACCAATGAATTTTAAATTATTCTTGTAAATAGATATAATGTAAGTAAATAATAAATATTAAATTCAAAAAGCAAAACACCTGGAGTTTTCAAATACAAAATTTATAACATAAATACAAACCACAACATTACTTTAAAAATCATTAGTATTTACTAGGTCGTTAAGAGCTACAAAACTTTTATTTTAATTTTCAGCATCATTATTTTTTAATTTATCTCAATTGTAAAAAAATATATTTCAAAAAAGTCATGTTTTACCATTTATATCTTAAGAACTATTTACACTAAGAGGCAAAAATTATTTGATGCCTTCTAATGATGTTCTCTCAGCATGCAAAATTTTATCAAAATTAAAAGTCGGGCTGAAAAGTAATCGATTTGATATGAAATTACTAGGGTAATATAAACATCAACATCAAATTGTATTTATATTCGAATACATTTTTTTTGAAAATTTGCCCATCCCTGCACAATCAATTAAAATCCTGGAAAATAATATATATTTATCGGATAATCTATTAAAATACTGAAAATAAATATATTTACTGAAAATTTTTATACTGAAAACGAAAATAAAATTAAAAACTAGAAACCAACTATTTGAAATCTTTTATTTCTCAAATAAAAAATTATATTACTTGATGCTTTACTAAAAGATAATCTCATAATTGTAAAATTAGATACTATAATATAAATTTAATTTTAGAAAAAATTCAAACAATTTATTACATTAATTCATAATAATTTAAACAATTATATTACATTAATTGATAATAAAAAAACAAAAAATTTCATAACATTAAATCTTAAGTAATTACATATTGTAAGGATATTAAGGGTGTATAAATTATAGGGCATAAATGCAAATATAATAAAATAACATATAATAATCAAAAAATGAAAATAACGACAAATGGTAACTATATTTTTAACAATTAATGTTTTTTATTTTAATAATTTTTTAGTTTTATAACATATATATATATATATTGTTAGTAAGTGCATTTTATATGGCAATTAAGATTTTTGATTAAAAATTGATGTAAAATATACAAAAATATTAATATTTCATAACAATAATGGTCAGATGGACAAGCATCTCATATCTTCCATTTAAGAGAAGATGGAGAAGTTATTCATAATTAAATAAATCAATTCATTATTTGTAAAAGGAAATTCAGATATCATTAAATGAGTTATTTGAACAACAAATATCATAATGCGAAAAATTAATTTCTATATTTTTATAGCGCAAATAATTTTAATTATTTGGAATATGCATTATTAAAATTTAAAAAAAGAATCAATAACAACATGTTAACTTCCACTTACTTAAAAAAATATTTATTAAAACAAATTCAAATAACTTTGAATTTTTTCATATAAAAAAGAGTATTTAATAATTTAATAAATAAATGAGAACATTCAAAACACGATATTTTACAAAAATAAACTTGCAATAAAAAAAATCATAAAATTTATAAGGAGATCTAATAGTATCATGATTTTTATTTTTTTTAATAGTCTTTTATTAAAAATAGTTCTACATTACGTAATAGATAAAGCAAAAATATTTTTTATATAAATATATCAAAGGCATAATGTAAAATAATATGACTCGACTTGATAGGTATATAAATTAATATATTAACGCGAACGTAATCTACAATAAGTTGAGACCAAAAAGAGAAATGTCTGAATTATAACATCTTCTCGAAGGAGGACATGATGTCGCTCTGCCTATTGATATCGATTAATCCAGCTTTCTTAAGGTTTGCATATGTTATCGAGAATGTAATTAAAATAATCAAATATTAAAGAGAATTTTTCACTTATTATAAAAAAAATCATTGGAATAGCCTTTATAAATGTCTATGCAGAGATAAAAATTTTTATGATTAACTCATCTTGAAATTATAGAGGTGAGAGACCAGTCAAAATCATAAAGATGCTTTTTTCAAAAGAATGCAGCAATTCAGAGAATTTATTTATCCTAGCCAGTTTTTAGAAAAATATATAGGCGAAAAGATGCACTCACCATTTCCCTCCGACGTTTCTCCATTTCCTTGAGTCTTTGACGTTCTCGGGCCAAGTCAGGAGAATTCAAGTTGAGAGGGTCGTCGAGTAAGTAGGTAGTCGTTGGAGGGATGATAGATTTTTTGAAGGACGGTAGGTCACCTAGGGTAGAGGAAAGAGTGGTAAAGTGGGGAGGAACTGCAATCATGCCGTTTGAAATGCCGGAATAATGGGATATGTGAGGGGAGGCGGGAAGATCGGATTCACTAAAAATTGGGGGGGGGGGTAGAAAAAATTGTGTACAAACGAAATAAAAACATATAAAATTCGAAATAGGAGGGCTAATATATAAAAAGCATATAAGTATGTAGCTGTAGAAACGTTAAGGTAAATATGGGTGCATGATGTGATTCTGCAAATTTATACTATGATAAAATAAAATCAATCTTAGTAATTTCACATTATAAGATTTCGGCAAGCAATAAAAAATAGTAAGCTAAATATTTAAAAAATAATATAATTGAATTAATATTTAAATTCAACATATTCAATTTATAATACTTCTAATACCATTTATATTCACAATTTAATTTAACCTTTATTTATTTATATATACTTCTAGAGGAAGGTCACAACTAACTTTAATTTTTCGTATCCGAAGGGACATGTTGGATAAAAAAATTATCGTTGAAATGGCACAAAGCCGAGCTATATGCAAGGATAGGGTGCGTTTTTAAGATGCAGACTATTGTTGGGATCAGCATGATAAAGATTTTTTTTTATATACTCTATTGATTTTTAATTTTATAATTTTTGCATAAATAGACAATTTTAATAAAGATCAAATATATATATTATATTTAAAAATAAAAATGATATTAATTTAGACCATAGCTTACAAAACCCTGGTGGTGACAACGGGAAAAAATTTCCCATTCTTCCAATTTTTTTAATTGTTGAATACAAATTAGATAAAAAAGGCATATAAAAATAAATTAAATAAGTAATGAAAATATTGTCTCATACAAAAAGACAAGGCCCTTATGTAATGTACTAACTTTATATAAATTGTATTTTTTTATGTTATGGTAACTTATTAATTATGGTAAATGTACTTTCGATTTAAATTCTCCTTATTTAAAGTTAGTACATTACAGTTCTTCCCATTGCAAATTGAATTCTTTATGATAATGTAGTGGGGGTTTCGAAACTCTTTTTTAAGAGTTGTATTTCCAGTATGTTCTGTATTGTCCAAATCTTTTGTCATTGTTATGGGTGGGTCATTCCATGACAAATCAACCACGATTCGGCAGACCCCCTTCGATTTTTTAAAATTTGGTAAGCAAAGAAAGGTTAGTGTAATTAAGAAATAGCCAAAATTTTAGCCTCGTAAAATTTATATTTTTGGAGATATTAGGGTTCAAAGTGGCGAAAATGACGTATTTTTATCATTATCTGCCTTCATTCAATTAATCATATCTTAAAAACTACATAATTGTAAATAACATTTAATATCAAAATTAAGTACAAAGATTCTACTTTTAGGTAAAAAAAAAATTTTTTCCAATGGAGTTGGAGCAGTCTTATCTCATATATTTTCGGACAATAGCAAACATCCACTAGCCTATGCTTCACGCACCCTTAATACCGCCGAAAAAAATTATTCCCAAATAGACAAAGAAGCCTTAGCCATAATTTTTGCAGTAAAACGTTTTCGTCAATTTTTATTAGGAAGACAATTCACATTGAAAACAGATCATAAACCTTTAATCTCATTATTTAGCTCTCAAAAAGATATTCCCACTATAGCCTCATCCCGTTTACAAAGATGGGGAATAATCCTATCCAGTTATCAATATAAAATCCAATACATAGAAGGTCTAAAAAATAAAAATGCAGATGGGCTCTCTCGTTTACAGTACCTGAAACTAATCCCATCAATAAAGACGACAAGAACTTAAAACTCTTAATAATCAAACAAATACACCAATTACCCTTTAATTCCAAAAACTTGTCACAGGAAACTCAAACAGATCCTATCCTATCCCAAATTTTAAAATATTTAACCACGGAATGGCCTAATAAAATAACCAATATTAATTTACTACCTTATCAACGTCTAAAGCATGAGATCACGATAGAGAATTCTATTTTGTTAAAGAATACCCGAGTTATAATACCTCAAGCATTACAAAGTCAGACTCTCACCGAATTACACCGGGGACACGCTAGCATAATTCAAATGAAAGAATCAGCGCGTACCTACGTATGGTGGCCCTCGATTAATAAAGATATACATTCCGTGTATGAATTATGCAGGCACTGCAATATGTACAAAGAAAACACACCTCGTATAAAAGACTCCCCTTGGCCAAGTACAAACAAAGTCGCGGAAAAAATACACATAGACATTGCAGGACCCGTATTCGATAAATCATGGCTAATCATAATTGACACCTATTCTAGATGGGCCGACGTCATCAACCTTCCATCAATATAATTAAAGCCTTAACAAATGCCTTTAAATATACGGGGTTCCCAGCTACCCTAGTATCTGACAACGGAACTCAATTTACCAGCGAAAGCTTCCAAGAATTCTGTGATAAAAATCACATAAAACATCTGACTACCGCGCCTTACATGACCCAAAGCAATGGAATGGTTGGAAGATTCGTTCGAACCTTCAAAATCCAATACAAGGCATAAACCCTCTAAACGTACAGGAACAAATAACCAATTTCCTACATAACTACAACAACACCCAACACACGACAACGAAAATGGTCCCAGCAATAATATTTTTAGGCCGCCGACTTCGAAATCCCTTAGATCGACTGCACGAACAACATACGTCGAAAAAAGCCACAACCACCCCCAAGACAAGTCGAATACAAAAAGGATCAAGGATGTGGGTACACACCCATAAGAAATCCCCCCAATGGAAACTGGGACTTACAAAGAAAACATTAGGAAATCGCATGTATCAAGTCAGAACAAAACAAGGAATAAGGATTTATCATGATAAGCAAATTAGAAAACGACGATCCTCCGATAAATCGAACAATTAATTACCAATATTTTCTTTTCCCCTCCTCTTTTTATAAATATAAACGTTTTCCCCGAATATTCAATTTATTAACTATTAATTTTTTTTCCCCAATCAATATATATACCATTTCACCTTACCCCGTTGCCTATTTAGGAGGGGGGGGGGGGAGTGTGATTGCAATGATAATTTAGTTATACCTTTCTAGGGAATTGGTTGTGTTTTGGGGGGGGGGGGGACGTTTTCCGGAACTCGTAATAAACCTAGGATTTTGAAGCTTAGTCAAGACCGGGATCATCCCCCCATCTCCGTGGCCTGTTTAGAGGGGGGGGGAGTGTTAAAGATGAAAAAAAAAGTTTTTTTTATCCCCCTCATGGTTAAGATGAAAAAGTTTTTTTTTTAATCCCCCTCTTTTGTTTATGTTAAAGTTAAATAAAGTTTTTTTTAATCCCCCTCTTTTGTTTAGTTAAAGTTAAATAAAGTTTTTTAATACCCCTCCTTTGTTTACAATAAAATGAAAGTTAAAAAAAGGTTTCTCTTTTTGGTCCCTCTCTTGTTTTAAGTTAAACACAGTGAAAGTAAAACATATGGCTTTTGTGTTTTCTCTCACTTTACTGGATTTCTTACTTTAGGAGTCCTTAGTAAGGTGATCCGAAAATATGAGTTAGACCGTTGGGTCCGGGAGACCACCCTGCATCCCAAGGTATATTTTGAGTTTCGGGAAGTATGGGGGGGGGGGGGTAGGTTTTATCCCCAATTATGTACGATAAAACTAACACAACTCGTTTTCACAAAAACGTTCTTTTTTTCACTTTGCGCCAATTCAATTTTAATATATAATTGCGCCTTTTATTTTCCCTATAAAAGGGACTAATTTTTTATAGTTTAGATATACTTTATTTTTTCTGTAAAATAATTTTGAAAATCTTTATTAATACACACTTTTTTATGTTTAAAAATAATTTTGAAATTTTTATTAATTTAAACTTTTTAGTTTTGTAAAATTTTGATAAAAATTTTATTAGTTATATTGTTAAACAATAAATTTTGATAATAAATTAATATGACTACGACCCGATCTCAAAATCATTCAAACGAAATGTCTCAAAATTCTTCAAATATAAAGCTCACTTTTAAAAGATTATAATTTTTCGGTAGCGCTATTACTTTCTTGTGACGAAATGTATAACTACGGCCAGTAACAGTTAACGGTGAAACTAATGTTAAGATATGACATTTTAGCAAGTAAAGAGTGTCGTCTATACTTGAAATGTAAAGGAATTAGAAGGTCCGGATGGATGTAAAAAATTATTTGCTTTTGATTTTTCCCTAAAACAAAGGCTAACCACCTTAGAATTATAAACACACGTTATATATCCTGATATTTCTCCAAAAATTATACTTACATCATTATATGATAATATGCTTTCTATTGAATTGGAATACATTTTACTTTTAAATTGATGTAGACCTGTTGGAATCACGGTGTTAAATTTTCTGTGTTCCAGGTATAGGTCCAGTTTTTGAAAATCTTTCTTTGAGTAATAGTTCTTCGTAATCATAATTTATTTGGTCATCTATTCAAAATATATGGCATTAATATTTTCTTCAGCTAACTCGTACAATTCATATGATGTGTACTTTGAGTAAGGCCTTGTAAACTAGCTCTAGCGGCTAATCTTTTAACAGTGGCACCAATCCCATCACAAACACTTTTCCCGTGTGCTGTAAGCAGAAAAATGCCACTCCGCCAATACCCCGAAACCCATTTCATGATGGCAAATAAAAATTTTACGATTTTTATACTGTGCAGCGGATCCATCGTAAAAATAAAAAATTTTAGGAATACAAATTTTATTAATTAAAAAATTTACCAATGTTTTTTGGAAATAATGTAAGCTATTGTATTGTGTTGCAAAGATTCGGATATTATTACATAATTTAGGTAACAAATATTGGCAAAATTATCTTTATAATATATAACAAAAGGGTGAACAGTGGATTGAACCCTATTCCAATGATAACTTTGTACTTCATCCTGAAGTATAAAGCTATAGTTTTCTGAAAAATCACATAAAATTAAATATTGGCCTTCGTCTAAGTTCAATTTTAGATTGTTTTGTGTTGAAATAAAAGAATGGGATTAAGATTACATTTTTTTAAAAAAGGCATTGATAAATTCATATTAGGGCTTGGTTATTGTTTCAAGAGTGGTTATAT